AGATCCGTACGACGGTGCTCATTTTAAATTGTTCTATGCCTCACTTTACTTTTACTTCATTTACTCATGTACGTCTTTATTCAAATTAAGCCGCTTTCCGCCATTTTTTTTTTTGTTTGTACCTCGTTTCATCATGCTTCTTATTATGATTTTTTTTTCTGTTTGGCAACTTTAATTTCATCGTATCAAATTCTTCTAACTCAATTTGATTATAATGAAAGTGATGCGAATAAACCAGGAATGGATGGAACAGTCTTTCTTTTTTGAGTTTCGGGATGCATTAAGGGAGATGTCAATTTAATTTGGGATTAGAGATTGAAAGAAAATAATTGGACGCATAGAATTTCTTAGAAATAGTGGGTGTTGCGATGAATAGAAATGGATATTAGTAAAGCCATTATTCGCAAAGATCAGTTTTCGCAATTTATTTTCAAAATGAGAAACTTTGCGTTGGTTTAAAGTTTTTTTTTTTTTAATTAATTACTTCAATGAAACTCAATACTAATTTATAAATATAAACAAAAATTTAATTTAAAAACTTTTTTAGCAAAAATAAAATATAGTTGATGCAATCAAATGTATTTGACAAGCATATCTTTTCGTAGCACAAATTTATCTTCCATATGTCTTTAATTTTATTTCTGCTATATATATTTAAAATTATTCATTGCATAATATTTGAATATAGTAAATTAATATTAATCAATGATTCACTATAATATTTGAAAATCATACTTAGTTAATAAAGTAAGGATGCATAGTCTAATTACTATGAGACGAACTTTAACCTGTAATGGCTTTATAGCTACATACATCATTGAACGTAAATTTTACTTCAAAGCGTTTTTAAGATTGGTAACATTGGTAAGATTGGTAAAGAGTCTTAACATTGTATAACACAACTATAATAATATTTGCAAACATAAAACGTAAAGTGCCCCACATTCAATACATTCAGAAAAATATATCAAGTTCTGTGACATCAGCCGTTTGGTAATCGTTTATTCGTTTTTGTTATATATATTATATATATATATTATATAACTCTTAACTCAAAAAACAGAAACGAACGGACATGAAATAAATTAGAATCACAACTATTTTCTATAGCAAATTTGTTTTGCTATAAAATGTGAAGCTATTTTTAGAAACACAATCACATAGTTATAACACAACTAAATTACAAAAACCTAAACTGCTCGTCAGTTCCCTTTTGATATTAGTTATATATATATAAATCTATCTTACATATTTCCGCAGAGAGACAGTCTATATCACTAAACCTATCTTCCTTTATTTTATTTTATAGCCTAATACCATTCTCCTTTATTTTGCAAAGCATTGTAGTAGGAGAAAAAAAAAAAAAAGTAAATAAAAAGCACTTTAAGAGTCATTGAATGCCTTCCATTCATACCAATCATTCAACAAACTCTGAAGCTCTTCAGAACATTTACAAAACAATCACTGACATAAATTTAAGTTAAGACATCCCATCGCTCATCCACCCCTACCCACTGACCCCTCCCTTTCTTCTTCTTCTTCCATCGACGGAATCTTCCCAACATATTTTCATTCCATCACGTGATCTATGACGCCTTTTATCCCGGGCAGGCTGTTGCCACGAGATCACTTTTAATTTCTAAAATTCGTACTTTGCAACATAATCCTTCCGTGTCACCATGATTCGCGATGTAACAGACACTGGATGGTAGAAGGGGATTATGGGTAATTAGATCCGTACGACGGTGCTCATTTAAATTGTTCTATGCCTCACTTTACTTTTACTTCATTTACTCGTGTACGTCTTTATTCAAATTAAGCCTCCTTCTGCCATTTTTTTTTTGTTTGTGCCTCATTTCATCATGCTTCTTATTATGATTTTTTTTTAACTGTCAACTTTAATTTCATCGTATCAATTTCTTCTAACTCAATTTGATTATAATGAAAGTGATGAGAATAAACCAGGAATGGATGGGAACAGTCTTTCGTTTTTGAGTTTCAGGATGTATTATGGTAGATGTCAATTTAATTTGGGATTAGAGATTGAAAGAAAATAATTGGACGCGCATAGAATTTCTTAGAAAGAGTGGGTGTTGCGATGAATAAAAATGAAGATTAGTAAAAGTCATTATTCGCAAAGATAATTTTCTCAATTTATTTGTAAAATGCGAAACGCGGTGTTGGTTTAAATTTTTTTTATATTAACTAATTACTTCAGTGAAACTGAATAATAATTTAGAAAGATAATTTAAGTCTTATTTTAGCAAAAAAACAAAATATACTTGATAGAGTGAAATATTTTTGACTCTCCGTTGTACAAACATATCTCCCATATGCCTTTAATTTCATTTCTGTAAAAATTTAAAAATAAATTTTAAAAAGATAATAAAATTAAAAACACCTTAAAAAATAACTATTTTAGAGAAAAATAAATTAAATCATAAAAAAAAACTGTTGAAATAAACTATTATCTTTCACAACGGTCAAGCTTAGTTTATTGATTTGTGTAATGTAAATTTAATGTTTAACCTCTAACCAACTAATTTTATTTTTAAGTATTTGTATTTATATTAATCATTAAATATTTAAAAAATCAAACTTAGTTCAAAATTCACATATATTAAGTAATTAATTATTATAAAATTAACATTTATTATCATTATTATCAAAATAAAATATTCACTTAAAATTTCAATAAAAATGACATTTGAAACAGAATGTTTTTAATTTAAAATAGGTAATTTTTATATCTACATTGACCTTGATTTCAATCCCCCCAAAAAAAATGACAGCAAAAAAAATATTCAAATATGACTCATGTAAATGTCGAGAATAAAAAAAATCATATAAATTGTAGGAAATGAAATAGGAATGTAAAAATAAATTGTAAACTTATAAAATGATGCAACTTATGAATTAAACACAAAGTACGAAAATTAAAAAAAAGAAATACAATAAAAATATATAATTATCACATTGAAAAGAATTAACAAAAAATATTATCGTCTTAAAAATAATTTAAAAATATATTATCGTATGAAAAAAAAATTAATAAAAATTATTATCCTTTCAAAAAAATTATAAATTATAGTCTTAAAAAAGAATTTTGAAATATATTATCGTTTGCAAAAAAAATTAATAAAAATTATTATCCTTTCAAAAAAAATTTTTTTTAATTATCGTCTTAAAGAGAATTTAGAAATATATTATCGTTTGAAAAAAAAAAAATTATTAAAAATTACTATCGTTTAAAAAAATTTAAAAATATTATCGTCTTAAAAATTCGAGTTACTTTTTATTACTAAAAGAAAATGAAATACTTACAATTTTTGATATCATTGGTATGTCTGGAATTTAAATTTTGGTTATATTTCTGATTTGAATCAAATGTTATGATTAAAGATTTATTTTTATATTAAAGGATTTAATTTTTAAACACTAATTAATTGCATCCATAAAATGAATTAAATGAATACACTTTTGGAAACATATCAAGTGGAAATTTATTAAAATTACATTTAGAAATTCAATTAAATATATTTCTAATCTAATTTTATTTGATGAGGTATTAAGATTGAAAATTTGTATTAATAGCAATTAAAGATATTACTTTGAATGCATTCAATTTTGAAGTGAAATTTAAGTTTAAATTTAATAAAATATCACATATTTTACTTAACATCTTACTTAAGCATATTGAAAATATATTTTACCCCAATTAATCTCTTTTATTCGTTTTTGAAATCTGAATCAAAGAAAATTCATATTTATTTAATTCATTTTTTAAACTAATACGTTTTTAACAAACATCAGAGATATATTTGGAATGATTCTGACATATAGTTACATATTTTAAATTTCCATATATATATTTAATATTTTATGTATTATATATTAAAATATAAGCTCAGCGGACAAAATATTATTCACCCTGCTTAAAAGCATAGAGGTTTGGTTTGGTTTATCGCTCTACTGTCATTTTATGCACACTTTAGGCTAATTAGAATGGCACCTAAGCTTAACGTGGGATTCCGATCCACCACCAAATTTCCATGTTTACCTCCAGGATTCAAACCGGAAGCCTTTGGCACCAAAACCGATTGGTCATAAAATGCTTACTTTGAAAAAATACATATTTTCATAAAATTCTCATTTCTTTTAACATTCAAAAGAAATAGTGGAATTTACAAAGAAATATTGTATTTGTAATCAAATTGTATAAAAATTGTAGTTCATACATTTTTTTTCCTAATGCAGCTGGCAAACACTCAGACAGTTGTCTTGGATGACTTAAGGCAAGCATTGCACCGACGTTACACACTTAGTACTACCCAGGAGTTGCATGTGGCTTGAAGATAAGCTACGGACGCGGAGTAACAATACCCCACAACAATCTACGATTCTGTTAGACGGGGACCTATGGTTTATAGTGGATTGCAAACCACTACAATCATCAATGGCACCTCCGGGACTCGAATCCGAAACCTTGTGGTTCTGAGAGCCGGAGCGTTAACCTCTCAGCCATTCAGGCCTCCAAACTAGATCTATTATAAAATATGTTTGCTTTGCTATCAGAAACTAAAATATTTGACCATCATTTTTTATATGACATACTGCACAGCAGTCATATTACTACTACTACACCACACCACACCACACCACATTACTATGCCTAGAGCAGTGTTGCCCCTTTTACATTTTGCGAATTATGTGAGTGTGAGAAGTATGATTGGGCTTTTGTGGCGCTCTACGGTCATATAAGACCGAACCTAAGGCTTAAAATGGATTCCGAAACCACTACAAACATCCGAGGTACCGTCGCGATTCATATGGTACTTATGGTACAGTACTTTAGTCATATTAGACCGCGAACTACGGTTTAACGGGAATTCAGGACCATTATAAACATCCATGGCACCACCGGGAACTCGAACCCGAAACTTTTGGTACTGAATGCTAGCCACTTGGCCATTCAGACCTTTTAACATATTATAAATGAAAGCGGACACCCGGGTTTGAAAAAGACAGTGGACCTCTCGATCTACAATCAATTGCTCTTCCACTGAGCTATACCCCGCCATAAAAAAAATAAGTAATATAAAAATGCAAAAATATTAATCGAATTTTTTTCGGATGATATAGTTTGTCACTCTACTTTTTACCTTCAATCTAATAGTTTTGTGCCCACTTTGGGTTTAATTTGGATTCCGAACAACTAACAAACATCCATGTTACCTCCAGGATTCGAACCTGAAGCTTAGGGTATCAAAGCCTAGTGACCATCAAACACTTTTATTTTGAGAAACAATATTTTATCAATTCCAGATTCCTGTTAACAATCAAAAGACAAAGAAATTTACAAATACATTTATTTGTAATCAAATTGTATATAATTGTATACAAAAAGGAGTTAGTATCATTTAGATAGATATTATTCTTTTGAGAAATATCTGATAATATCTGACTTTTATTCTTCAATAAATCTTTGTTCTTCAATCAATGAATAAGCTTTTTTTCTTTTATCTGCTTTGTAAGAAATTTGTGGAAGTCAACAAAGTGTTGAAGAAATATCTTACGGAGTTGGATTGTTAGCCCTACACTCTACAGTCATATTAGATCTGGACCCACGGCTTAAAGTGGACTGAACCATACTACGCACATCGCATTACTGTGCCTAGAGCTGAGTTGTGTCTTTACAGTTTGGGAATGATGAGGAGTGAGAAGTCTGATTGAGCTTTTGTGACGCTCTACGGTCATATGAGACCAGGAAATACAGCTAAAGTGGATTCCGAACAGCTACAAACATCCCTGGCACCACCAGACTCGAACCCGAAACATGTGCCATCGAGTTCCAGAGCACACGGCGCTCTCACTCGGCCATCAGGCCCCAACTTCAATTTCACTACTAGGAAAAATTATTATTGGTTGGTGGCAAACATTTTGATTTACTTCTTGGTAAGTCTTTTATCTAAAATATCAATTACAGCCAAGTAAGAAATATTATTCAATGTTTAATGAATATTAATATAAAATTATTTATACAACAAAAACAAATTTTTTTTTTCTTCTGCAATTCCTTCTATTAGCTCACGCTCTCCTATATCTTGTTCAAATTTTCAATCGTGAATAAAATACTTTTTTATTCATCCTCTCAAGTTCAAATACATTTTTTTTTTAACTTGTAGTGGATGACACTGGATGTTAACACAGTTTTTTTTTCAAATATTAATTCATTCAATAAATTTAATTAATTCATTTTAGATTTTTTTAGATTTAAGTTGCATATATCTAAAAAAATAGATGGCGCCAGAAAATTATTTATAAAGGGACTTTCTGCAATATAGCGAAAAAAGTAGGAATTGACTTTAATTTTTTTATATTATTTATTTCATAATAAATCACATCCAATCCACGTAATCCGTTTTTGACTTTTAATCCAATAAAGCCTATCACTGATTTATACTACTTCACAAACATTAAATTAAAATTTACTTAATGTAGAACGTTTTGCAACAAATATGTTTGTAAATTGTGTATGATTTTGGTTATATATATAAATTTATATATATATATATATATATAATGCTTACTGAAAAGCATCTTAAATTTTTCCACAAAGCCAGTCCATAGTGCTAAGTCTATCTTCCTTTATTTCATAGCCTAATATCATTCTCCTTTTATTTTGCAAAGCTTGTATTAGGGTGAAAGAAAAATAAAGGAAAAGCACTTTAAGAGCCACTGAATGCCTTCCATTCATACCAATCATTCAACGAACATTAAAGCTCTTCAGGAACATTTACAAAACATCTGACATAAATTTAAGTTAAGACATCCCATCACTCATCCACCCCTACCCCACTGACCCCTCCATTTCTTCTCCAAAGACCCTTTCTTCTTCCATCTTCTTGAAATCTTCCCAACATATTTTCATTCCATCACGTGATCTATGACGCCTTTTTATCCCGAAGCAGGCTGTTGCCACGAGATCACTTTTAATTTATAAAATTCGGACTTTGCAACATAATTCTCCGTGTCACCGTGATCCGTGCTGGTAACAGACACTGGACGGTAGAAGGGGATTATGGGTAATTAGTTCCGTACTAGTGTGCTCGTTTTAAATTGTTCTATGCCTCACTTTACTTTTTACTTCATTTATTCGTGTACGTCTTTATTCAAATTAAGCCGCTTTCTGCCATTTTTTGTTTGTACCTCGTTTCGTCATGCTTCTTATTATGATTTTTCTTTTTCTTTGGCAACTAATTCCATCGTATCAATTTCTTCTAACTCAATTTGATTATAATGAACGTGATGCGAATAAACCAGGAATGGATGGAACAGTCTTTCGTTTTTGAGTTTCGGGATGTATTAAGGAGATGTCAATTTAATTTGGGATTAGAGATTGGAAGAAAATAATTGGTCGCGTATAGAATTTCTTAGAAAGAGTGGGCGTGTTGCGATGAACATAAATGGATATTAGTAAAAGCCATTATTCGCAAATATCAGTTTCTCGCAATTTATTTACAAAATGAGATACGCGGTGTTGGTTTAAAATTTTATTATTATTTTTTTAATTAATTACTTCAGTGAAACTGAATAATAATTTTGAAATATAAATAAAAATATAATTTAAGACTTATTTTAGCAAAAACAAAATAAAGTTGATACAGTGTTTGATGTTTGACAAGCGTATCTTTTCGTTGTACAAATTTATCTCTCATATGTCTTTAATTTTATTTCTGTGAAATATGTCATATTATTCATTGTGTAATTTTCAATAAAATTTTAGTAATTTATTTTTAAATAAATACTTATCAATTGTTGACTGTAATACTTAAAATAAAAGTTAGTTAATCAGTTGGATGTATAGACCAAATCTAGTGAGACAAACTTAATCTTTCACAGATTTATGTCAATGAATGCCAATTCTGCTTTAAAATGGAAGATTGGTAGAAAATTTGAATCATATTGCACAATAAGTAAAAATTTGAAAATGAACGAAATATACAATAGGTAAAAATTTGAAACATAAACACAAGAGGTAAAATTGTGAAGAATAGAAGAGAATAAGTAAAACTTTGAAGCATAAAACAGTGTAGAATTGTAAAGAATTGTTGTTCATAACACATAAGTATAAATTTGTAGCATAATATAAAATAGGTAAAATATTCAAACATAATGCACAATAGGTTAAAATTTGAGGCATATTGCATAATGAGTAAATATTTTGAAGCATAATAACACAACAGATAAAAATTTGAAGTATAATACACAATAGGTTAAAATTTGAAGCCTATACATAAAAAGGTAAAACTTTTTGAAGCATATTACATAATAGATAAATTTGAAGCACAATACACAATAGGTTAAAATTTGAAGCCTATACATAAAGGTGAAACTTTTGAAGCATATTACATAATAGATAAATTTGAAGCATAATACACAATAGGTTAAATTTGTAGCTTATACATAAAAGGTGAAACTTTTGAAGCATATTACATAATAGATAAATTTGAAGCACAATACACAATAGGTTAAAATTTGTAGCTTATACATAAAAGGTGAAACTTTTGAAGCATATTACATAATAGATAAATTTGAAGCTTAATACACAATAGGTTAAAATTTGTAGCTTATACATAAAAGGTGAAACTTTTTGAAGCATATTACATAATAGATAAATTTGAAGCATAATACACAATAGGTTAAAATTTGAAGCCTATACATAAAAGGTGAAACTTTTTGAAGCATATTACATAATAGATAAATTTGAAGCTTAATACACAATAGGTTAAATTTGTAGCTTATACATAAAAGGTGAAACTTTTGAAGCATATTACATAATAGATAAATTTGAAGCATAATACACAATAGGTTAAAATTTGTAGCTTATACATAAAAGGTGAAACTTTTTGAAGCATATTACATAATAGATAAATTTGAAGCTTAATACACAATAGGTTAAAATTTGAGCCTATACATAAAAGGTGAAACTTTTTGAAGCATATTACATAATAGATAAATTTGAAGCACAATACACAATAGGTTAAAATTTGAAGCCTATACATAAAAGGTGAAACTTTTTGAAGCATATTACATAATAGATAAATTTGAAGCACAATACACAATAGGTTAAAATTTGAAGCCTCTACATAAAAGGTGAAACTTTTGAAGCATATTACATAATAGATAAATTTGAAGCATAATACACAATAGGTTAAAATTTGAAGCCTATACATAAAAGGTGAAACTTTTTGAAGCATATTACATAATAGATAAATTTGAAGCATAATACGTAATAGGTAATAATTTGAAACATTATATGAAATACGACTAAAATTTTGTTAAAAAAAATTAATATTACAACTTAGGCAATGATGTGTATTGCATGCAGCCTTCCGTATTTACGCTATTTAGACTGTTGTCGTCGTATGGTTGAACCATTCCGCAAAATAAAAAAAAAGGTAGACATTCAAATCCTATAAAAATGTTTTCCTTAAGAATTTATTAAATAATTTAATGAAATTATTTCAAACATATTCCATTTTAATTGCTATTAATAATTCGGTTGTGGTTTTTGTTAATTAAAGCATTAAAAAAATTTAATTCTCAATCCAATTTAATAAACAATTATATATCTGAGTATTAATAAATTCAAAGTCCTGAATAAGCACTGGTAGGTATGTTTTTGGAGATTATCTTTCAAGTCGTCCCACTGAATTAATTACAATTACCTGTCCGGCAAGAGTTCTCAAAATATCCTAGCTTTTTGTTTACCTGAAAATTTTGAAGCAACAGTAGTAAATAGGTAACAATTTGAAGCCTTATACGAAATTTTTTTTTCATTTTCTCCAGCTATTTTGTCGAATGAAATGACATATTTTGCTTTGGTAAATTTCAATAAAAGAACTAGCAATATTTAAGAGAAATCTCCTTTCACCAGCAATTTAATATCATCCGCAATGATAATTTAAATCATCATCCTTGACGCAACAGTCAATGACGATGATTTAAAGCCGAAGATGATTTTAAGCCAAGCCAATTTACATACCGGTAGACTTCGAAAGGATTTTTTTTTTTT